ACAAGTTGAGTCTCTGACGCACTCTGCAGAGTGACAGCAGGGCTCCCAATATTGCAATATTGAAATAAAGACCTTACTCAGGTGAGAGCTCTCTCTCGGGGCGTCCTTGATAGGTATATTTCTGTGACAAGGGAGAGGATGTTTTAAAGTTTTATTTTTAATGTCTTTATTTCCCAGCGTGCTTCCCTTAGTTAACTTGAAGTCTGTACACTGGTAACCGTTTGAAGATGTTAATGGGTCAAATACCCATTAACTACAGTTGGATATACTGTAGTTGTGCTTGCCTGCACCCTTAAAGATGATGGCTCATGTTTCCTTTGGGAAGTGAGGTGGTTAAACATGTCCTCCAATGTTTTTCTTCTAACAAACAGACTCCTTTTTAAAAAATAAAATAGTAAATATGTACACTACATTAATTGTTTTTATGTATCGCAGCATTTAATGTTAAATGATAATGAAATAACATGAATACTGTCAACAGTGGGAGTAAAAACCAGTTCAACCAGTTCAATTAAAATACTCAATTCAGTGGGGCAATTTAACTCAAGCCTTTACAAGAAGCCTTTAAAACAAAATCGTATATATTATAATTGTACTTGAGAATAACTGGTATTAAAAAGACCACTGATACTAATCCGATCATTATTAACAGTATTAACTTGATAATTTCAAACTTCTTGTGTCTTTTACAGTCATTTGTTTTCTCCGGTTTTTGCTTCGCTTTCTTATTAAAATTTGAGACACGATATGTTCAGATGTCAGTAACTTTGCGAAAAATGACAGCCTTCAAACCACATGCATTTTAAAAATCACGATTTGTGATTTTCACAACTTTTATTTAAACAATGTCTAGTACCTGGTTGCATTTTTAGAAACGTTTGAATAAAGCAGATCCCAGGTGTAAACGAGTTCATAACATGAGTGCATTATAGTGCTGGGCGATAATTCGATAACGATAATTATCGCGATATAATTTTAACAAAAGTTCGATAAATGTTCAATATATGTTTATGCTTTGCACATGCGCACAAAATACTTTAGAGCGGGCAGCTAACGTGGTGTTGACCCACACGGTGGTGGCAGACAGGACTGTAGCTAGAGTGGAGAAATGAGCGACACTGAAGCAAATGTAGTGCTGCCAACGACCAGCTCGAAGGACGATGACATCGTCGACAGAAGAGGTCATTCAACTTCGGTAAT